TACTTTATTTAGTTGAGTTGTTCATAAATAAGCTTAAAACTAAATTTAATAATCTTTTTTTATAGAATGATTTTAAATACAAAAAGAATTCACAACTCCTTTTGAAGAAATTTCCCCGTAAGAGCTAAACAAATGCCTTCAAAAGTTTTAGTTGTCGGCAAGAAAAAGCGACGGCCGCGGCCGCCCGTTCATTACGCGCCAAAATTGTAATCGTTGGCAACAGTATTTGATCAGTTAAAAATCGTCATTTATGTGCTCAATTATCTCACTGTTTTAGTATATACTAAAACAATTATTCACCTCAGTGTCGGTGGCTAGTCGTGGATATTTACCTCACTGCTTCGCAGTTCGGTAAATATCCAGGACTAGCCACCTCCACTTCGGTGAATAATTGTTATTTGTACCGTATAATAAATGAGGAAATAACAAAGAAAAAACAGCCGTCTAAAAATAATTGTGTTATCTTATTGGATACTTAGTAGTTTCTAATGCATTTTACCTTTTTAATTGTCATGATAAGCATTGAAATAAAACCTCGGTGGCGGGAAGCTCACAACGTCTTAGTTCACCGAACCGTCATCACATTTTATGTTATTTCCTTCTTGCAAGAAAGTCATTTAACATTTGACAAATTAGTGACTTTGACAGACTCCATCCACTGAAATAACTCCTTACGGGCATCTATGACATTCTAAGATTACCAAGCTCAAAAAAACGTTTTTGAGGAGGATCCATACATTAAAATGACCTGAAATTACGTGTTAATAAATATGGCTGCATCAAATATGTATTACGCAATTGTCCAATACCGGCATTTTCTGTGAGAATGTTAAAAAGTATAGGGTAGTCCAACAGTGGAGAAGGTAATTACTGAAAAAGTTAAGGATACTTCAAGATCAAAAAAAAATTAAGAGATATTCCCATCAGAGACAAATGGTCGGCTTAGCGCAGAGGCATGCTGTTACGGAGCTTAAGATCCGACGATGGTGACGGCAACGAGAACGGGTAGGCCTTGGTGGTGACTACTGTGATAATACTTTTTGTACCGTATCTAAGAAAAAACAGCCTTCAAAAAATAATTGTGTTTTCTTACTCATACTTGGTAGTTTCCAATGCATTTCACCTGTTTAATTGTCATGATAAGCGTTGAAATAAAACCTTGGCGACGGGAAGCTCACAACCTTTTAGTTCACCGAACCGTCATGACATTTTGTTATTTCCTTCTTGCAAGAAAGTCATTTAATACTTGACAAATTAGTGACACTGAATTAAAGACTCCATCCACTGAAATGACTCCGTACGGGCAGTACGGGCACCTATGACATTCTGAAATTACCAAACTCCAAACAAGTTCTTAAGGAGGATCTATACACTCAATTAAAATGACCTGAAATTACGTGTTGATAAATATAACTGCATCAAATATGTATTACGCCATTTTCCAATAGTGGCATTTTTTGTGTGAGAATCTTAAAAAGTGTAGGGTGGTCGAAGAGTGGCGAAATTAATTACTGAAAGAGTTAAGGATGCTTCTAGATTAAAAAAAATTAAGAGATATTCCCATCAGAGACAAATGGTCGGCTTAACTATTACGATAAATGAAATGGTTAAAAAATCATTAATTCTTGCAGGATCTTAATATTGTGAGCTCACCATACGTATCTCGTGGCCAAGACGCCAATGCATCCGCAGGACCACTGCACAAAGTGAAGATCATCGACAAGCGGAAAAAAAGAATTGACTTTCACATCCCTAGTTTAAGGCAAATGAAAAAAGTGCTCTTCAGCAGCTCCTGAAAGTTTCTCTCTGGTTTTCGTTGCATCTCCGTTAGTATCTAACTCCTCTACTACACTGATTATTCACGGCAATGCATCAATGCTGTCCAGTTGGCGTAGGTCGTTGGCATTGTCTCATCCTGTGTTGTTTAGTTAGGGTACCATGGTGTTGTGTCTGCAAGTTTGAGACTGGATGACACGAAACCGCGAAGTGGGACGCAATACTGAGCAATATGAATAATATTTCATGGTGGTGCCCTGACTCAAATGATGCCTTGAAAGGAAATTAAATCTCGTAAGTCATCTCGCGTGGTTCCGTGACTCCCTTTTCATGGGCTAAGACCTATTGAGGCTAAATATATCATCTCTAGCACTTCAATTTTCGTTTCAGAGTTTATTGTCTGCTCCACCAGACCCGGACGTATATCAAATAAAGCTTGACTCGGGGCTTGCCTGATTAAAATGGTCGTCAAGCACGGTACATGCAGAAGGCAGAAGCAATACCTACAGTAGCTGGGAAGACGTTTAATTCGAGTTTGATTAATAAATAATTCAGTGAGT